GACCAACTCTAAAGGTGCACACGCATCATCTTGGCAGGTTCCTTTCCGACCTCAACTCAGGCGGAGTTGTGAACCAGCTTCTTCCTCTTTCACTCTCCAAACTCTAGAGCTTGACTGAGTCCAAGAATATTGTTGGGTCGTCACTACTCAGAAACCACGGTCCCAAGATCATCAAGAACACATCCTCACAAGATTGGCATACAAGGCTCGAGTCCAGTCGGGGCAGGTCCAACCCCTCCTGACTGACTTGTCATGCACCACTCACCGACCTCGGCAGTCCACTGACCTGCCAGGCTCTGACCCTCTAGAAGAGATGGTCATTGTCATGGTGATCAATGACCCTGACGATGCTTAGGAGGAGAGAATGAACAAGTTCGTGGAAATGATGTAAGCCATCCTTGAAAGGATGGAACTCCTAAAGCCCTCCAGGTTCCCTTCTTCGACTGGTTCCCCAACTGGTGAGGACACAGTTCCTAGGAAAAGTCCTCCATCAGCGTCCTAAGACAGTTCTACCTCACGCGGGGTCTCCCAAACCGACATAGATGCTATGGTGTCCCATAGCCTCAAGAACAAGGTCCCAGGCATGCAGGAGACGGCGCTCTATCAAAAGTCACACCATTTGTACATAGACCAAGTACCCTTTCCTCTGAACTATCAAAAGGGGAAGCTCCCCCTGTTCAACGGTAGAATGTCTCTGCACCAGCATACTGCTCACTTCCAGGCGGCTTGTCGGGAGACGACAACTCCTCCTCTGCCAGTTCATCAAAACTCTTGAAGGGCCAGCCTTCCAATGGTATGCTCGTTGTCTCCGAACTCGATACACACATGGCAAGAGATGGAGCAGTTGTTCTAGCAATGCTTCTACGAAGTCCAAAAGAACATAGAGACCATAAAACTCCTCATCCTGATGCAAGACCCTAGTGAGCCGGTCGACAAGTTCATCACCTGCTGGAGAGAGTTGGCAACCTTCCATGCCACTCTCAGGACCAAAATGGAAGTGGTCCAGACATGCATACAGAACATACTTCTCGAGATCTCTCTTCATGTCAAGGCATCCAATTCACCCTCCATGTCAAAGCTCATCTCTAAGGCAGTTCGTATTGAGGGATTATTCAAGCATCATGGCAACCCTCGTCTATAACCTGCCTACTCAAACTCTCGCTCCAACAATTGGGGCAGCCAAAAGGCAGTAATTAGTGCTGTCATCACCGTGGCTAACATCAAAGGTGCGGTTCCTCAAACCCTGAACCTTTCCAAGGCACATGCGTCTTACAACAACGTCCCTCCTCTTAAAAATTCTAGGCAAAACAACTACTGGGCCCAACACCAGAATAAGGTTTAACCCTTCGACACAGAGTGGATGCTTACACTACTTCGACTGCGGCTAGAACAGAACATGAAACAGTTGCAAGAGGCCAATACCGCGGAGTCGGCTGGGTAGGAGGAAAATGAGAAGTACTACGCCTATCACAGGAGGGTATGCCACCCCACTTACGACTGCTATAAGCTCAACGACACGATCGCAGCCCTTATTAACAAGGGTCAAATAAAGCTTAAAGAGTTGAAGAAAGCATTCGGGGCAACTGAGGTCTCTCACATAGTCACGATCCATGAGGACGATGGGGCACCCACTATTCTTCGTGCATTTTTCTCCATAATGCTTGAAGAAGGGATCGTCACTCCAAACCGAGGCAGCCCAAGTTCCTATCTCCAGGAATCGAGAACCTTTGGTACGCGTATCACCACATACGAGGCGAGGACGTCAGCGAATGCACTGGCTTCCACAAGCTCTTGGTGGAGAAGATGCATAGGTGCCAGGAAGTTCAGGGCATCCCTGAAGGACACCCTCAAGTCCCTCTTCCGCATAAGTAAGAAGACCTCTTGACTCAAGCCCAAGGAAGCGCTGAGCTAGACCCTCTGTAGGCCCTCTTCAAGGCAATGCTCCAAAATGGCCTTGTCACTCCCAAGCCTGCCAGGCAGCCGAGGCGTCTTGCTCAGGGTACAGAAAACTTTTGGTGCCCATATCACCAAGTATGAGGCCACGAACTCAACGAATGCTCCTGTTTCGAAGCTATAGTCACAGAGAAAGTCCGGCAAGGCCACATCGTTTGTGCGGTTCTCCTGGAATGCATCCAGGATGTCACTCCCATTTCAAAAGAAGCCACACTAACAGCCCCTCCTGAGTATACACTTGAACCTTCAAAGCCTTCGACCTCTCAGCCTTGGAATGTCTACCATGGGCGGAGGAGGCTCAAATCCTTGAAATGTGAGGCAATCTAGCAAGCTAGGGCTACTCACCAGCCTGATAAGGTGGTCTAGACATCTCCTCAAGGATCCCAATGGCGATGGCAGCCACGTAGGTCGGCCCATCGAAGGAATAGTCCTCCTCAACCACCAGTCAAAGAAGAATTCCTCAGGCCCCTTCATCCACTGTTGACCTTGCAAGACTTTATCTCAGGCACAACTCGCCTCATCCTTTCATCCAATCAGGCAGACATACCCAATTCACCAACAGGTCGGGATTCCCACACTATGGGTGATGACGGTAAAAGCACCCCACGAAGGTCAAACCCGGGGCAAGACCTAAAATATCCTAGGGGCATGTCCAATTTCAATGACGATATAAAAAGATGCCTTGAACGTTCTAACTCTTCTTCTCCTCCCTCCTCTTTTGTTTTCTCCACAGGTGCATCTCGATGGTGCCCAAACATTGACACTCTAAACAGAGAATTCGGAGACACCAGCCTCACCTAGCCATAGTAAGAGTTCCTCAAAGAGATGCTGGCCCGGGCGGCTGGATTCTCGACAGCAGCCGACCCTCTGTCAACCTGAGCAAAAATCGAGTCATCTTCAGGTTTCCACTCCCACATGGCCTGCCACATGATCAGGTGCATGAAGCATCACCTAGCTTAGGGCAAGCATCAAGTGATCCCAGTCACGAGGTCATGGACTCCCTCTTTCGAAGCTGACCTTTCCATTGCTTGGACTAGCCAGAGACTGGTACTCTCCCTCACTGTGCCCCTCCTAGAAGCTGAGATGTCTGGATCATGAGCTTCTACATTCGAGGTCAATGAAAATCCTGGTGAATCCCCTGACGAGGAAGTCCAGGAAGCTTTAGAAGAGTGGGAAGAAGGAAGTCAGGTCACGACTGATGAACTTGAAGAGATCAACCTAGGGGATGAGGCCGACCTAAGGCCGACTTTTATCTCAGTAAAAATGTCCCCAGAGGAGAAATAAAGTTATATCTCCCTCCTCTAAGAAAATTGGGACGTCTTTTCTTGGCACTATCATGAGATGCTCGGTCTAGACCCTCAGATTGTTGTCCATCCCCTTAGTATTGATCCAACCATCAAACGCATGAAGTAGAAATCAAGAAGGTTTAGACCCAACTTCTTGATGCTGATCGATGCTGTGTTGAACAAGCTCAGGCAAGCAGGATTCATACGTGAAGTCCAATACGGAAAATGGATGGCAAATGTTGTCTCAGTCAAGAAGAAGAATAGCCAAATCAGGGTCTGTATTGACATCCAGGTGTTAGACACTGCCTGCCCTAAGAATGACTTCCCCCTCCTGTTCACCGAGATGTTGATCGACTCCACAGCTCATTGCCAAATCCTCTCCTTTATGGACGGGTATTTTGGTTATAATCAAATCAGGATGGCACCAGAAGATGAGGAGGCCACTGTGTTCTTGACCCCAAGAGGCATCTTTTGCTACATTGTGATGCTTTTCAGGATAAAAAATGCCGGTGCCACATATCAGTCAGCCATGATGACCATCTTCTACGACATGATCCACAAGGAGGTCAAGTGTTATGTGGATGATCTGGTGGTGAAATCTGAAACAAAGGACGCTCACATACAAGGCCTCAAAAATGTATTTGAATGACTGCAGCGTTACCAACTCAAGATGAACCCCTTGAAATGCGCTTTCGGCATATGCTCAGGAAAGTTCTTAGGGTTCATAGTGAGGTACTGAGGACTGGAGATTGAGCTGGTCAAAATCAAGGCAATTCAGGACATGCCACCGCCTGCAACCCTCCATGAACTGCGGTCTCTTCAAGGATAGCTCGCCTACAGTTAAAGGTTCATCTCGAACCTTTCAGGGCGATGCAGGCACTTTTCACATCTCTTAAAGAAATATACTCCCTTCATATGAGATGAGGTGTGCCAAGCTGCACTTGATGACATTAAGCAATACATATTGAATCCTCCAGTTCTCTCTACACTAGTGTTGGGAAAGCCTCTCATCCTGTACATAATCGCTCTTGATGAGTCACTCGGGGCATTCCTAGCGCAGAACAATGATGGAGGGAAAGAGAACTCTTTACTATCTCAGCCATAGAATGCTAAGGGCCGAGAAGAATTACCCTTCCATCAAGAAGATGTGCCTAGCCTTGATCTTTACAGTACAGAAGCTCCGCCATTACTTGCTCGGTCACAAGGTCAAGTTAATCTCCAAGGTAGACCCAATCAAGTTCGTTATGACCCAGCCATGCTTGTCAAGACGTTTGGCCAAGTGGACATTGTTACTGATGGAGTTTGACATCACGTATGTACCATAGAAGGCAGTCAAAGGTCAAGCCCCAACAAAATTTCTTGCAGCTCACCCACTTCCTTCAGAATCTCCCCTGTCGAGCGACCTCCCAGATGAAGAAGTTTTTTGTGCGGTGCAAACTCAGCAGTGGGAAATGTACTTTGATGGAGCATTCCAGTCTGATAGAGGGTGTGCTGGAGTTGTGTTCTTAACTCCCAATGGCATAATAATCCCTTTATCCTTCTCACTTGCAGAGGCATTTTCACATCACAAAGCCGAGAATCAAGCCCTCATAATCGGACTGAAAATCGCTTAAGAGATAGACCTGGAACACCTGAATGGAGACATGTTGACTTAAGAATCAAAGTTGACACAAATGACAAGAGGGATGTCCTCTTTAAATTCCCACCTTAACCATTCGGGGAACTCCTCGTAGCTAAGGATGTCGTTGAGACAGAGCAAGAATGTCCCAAGGAAAAGGATCCAAGGTCAAGGAGCAGGAGCCTGAATTCTTCGACCAGTTGTCTGCGGAGGTTGAACAAGTAGAGGACTGGAGGGAGCCTATCATGGACATCATAAAGCATGGAAGGCTACTTCAAGATCGGGCGGAACACAACGGCCTACGACAAATGTCCACCAAGTACATCCTTCTCGATGGAGACGTCCGCTTCTGTGGGTCATTTGACGGAATTCTCCTCAGATGCAACGATACACAAGAAGCAGGAAAAGTATTTGAAGAAGTGCACTTGGGTATCTATAGGCTGCATCCGTTCGGCCCTAAGCTCTACGAGCGCATACACAGACTCGGCTATTACTAGCCTTCCATGGTGGCTGATGCCGAAAACTATGCCAAAAGATTCTAGGTGTGCTAGATCCACTCAAGCCTCATTCATCAACCCTCGGAGCGTCTCCACCCTATAGTGACATCGTGGCCCTTTTCCTAATGGGGTATGGACATGGTAGGACCCATCAATCTCCCTTCTGCCTTGGGCCATGCCTTTATTAAGACGGCGACAGTCTACTTTTCCAAGTGGGCTGAAGTGATCCCTCTCAAGCAAGTTCTAAGGACCACGGTAGCCAACTTCGCGCATCATCACATCATCTGCCGATTCGGAGTTCCGAACCGGATAATGGCCCCCAGTTCAGAAGCCATCATGTTGGTTGTCTGGTCAACCACTTTGTCTTCAAGTGGAAGTACTCGACTATGTACTACCCTCGAGCCAATGGATTGGCGGAGCTGTTCAACAAAAATCTATGCGAGGTGCTCCAAAAGTCAGTTTCAAAATCAAAAAAGAATTGGTATGAGGAACTACTTGAAGCTCTATGGCCTTATCGTACCACCACTCGGAATGCTACGTACTCCACTCCTTATTCCCTGGTCTACAAAGGTGAGGCAGTCTTGCCCCTCGAGGTTCAAATACCCTCACTCCATGTCGCTATACATCAGGGACTGACTAAAAATGAGAGGGTCAAGCTTTGTTACCAAGAGTTGGATGCCCTTTATGAAAAGAGACTAGAGCCCTAGCAGAACCTCAAGCTCAATCAAGGAAGAATGAAGAGAGCCTTTGACAATTCTATCGAGGTTTGCTCATTCGCTCTTGGGGATCTAGTTTTAGCAGTAAAGAGATAGATTGCTATGCGTGGATGCCGAAAAGAAAAATTTGAGCCCAAATGGGAAGGCCTGCTTATAGTCAAAAAGGTCACACCAAACGGAGCCTATGTATTGGCAAACTCGGATTGAAGAGAGGTGATGCCCCCTATCAATGGATGATATCTGAAGAAGTACTATCCTTGATGTAACCCAAAAAGGCGGTATGTGCATCAAGACAAGAAGGAAATGGAAAAGAAGAACTTCAATTCAGTTCAAAAGAAGTTTGTTTCTTTCATATCATTAAAAAGAGTTACAAGTTACAATCCAAGGCCCATTATTAGGGAAGTTACAAAGCTCTTGCATTTGAGGATAAGAGGATAGCTATAGGCAAAAAAGAAACACTCTCCTCATGAAGAAGAAGCAAACCCACTAAAGAAAGGCTCTCCTCCTGAAGAAGAAGCAAAACCACTTAGAGAAGTTAGTGTCAGTCCCACCAAAAGAGGAGGGTTACAGGCCAAAAGAAGGAGCCAACCATTTCCGAGTCAGTTTCAATTCATCTGACGAGGCATGGCTGGTTTCCAAAGGACCGGCCCACGACGAAAAGACATGAACTTCACGGTGTTAGAAGGTATTTTCCATCAACATGGGGCCCCCGCTCAATAAAGGCCAAGCAACAGTGGAAATTACAATAGTCTCATAATAGCCCCAAAACTGTGAAAGATCTTCATGAGGTCTCTCAAAAGTCTCCTACCAAGTTTCGTCAGATTTCGACATGTCTAAGGTAGTGCAAACTGAGAAATCGTTCCAGCGAAATCAACCCCTAACACTGTGAAATGGATCCTATAGCTAGAACTACATTTTTTTTTTGGTGTGTCAATTTGCTATGGGATAGCCACCATTGGAACCTGCACAGTTGAAACCTCATAAGGGTCAAATTTTAGCTTCGAACGGACACGCCAAGAAGAAGTTATAGGCAAAAGAGTGAAATAGGAGGGGCTGATTGCTATTCCCGTGCGGCCACCCTGCAGCTCCACGCCATGGAAGGGACAGTCACGACTAGTGACTTTCGATGCTCATATCTCACACGTCTTAAGTTGGATTGCACTCAAATTTGGTGAGCATGTTCGTCTAGTCAAGACGAACGATTCAAAATGTGGCACGCCCCGTGACAACAATCGAGCATGAAGTAAAGCTAGAGAGAAGTTGCTGATCCGTGAAGAAAGTACATGAAATTCAACAGCGTCGTGTCTTGTTCAAGTGGCCGAATCACGTCGCTCGCAAGCCCGATCGATGTGAGAGTAATTCCATTGCGGGCATAAGGTCTCAGGCTATCACTAACCCGAATCCCGTACATGATGAACGTTTAGATTTTGCACATGAAGCCGACGAAACACCTTCAAATTCTGTCGTCGAAATTTTAGATTCCAGCCAAAATTCCAAAGTTGAGAAATTTTCGTTCGGGCCCGGAATTGAGCTACATTTTTTTCCTCGCGATTGTAACGGCATGCTCAGTGTAGTTTAGCAAAGAAATCACCAAAAAATATCAAGGAACGAGTACACTATCCATCTGAAATTTCAAGATCCACTCAAATTTCAAGTCACATGATCGTGAACTAGAAACACGATCCATGGCTCGAAGTTGGTATCAAATAGATCGCCATGACGAGCCCTATAAGAAAAAAATCATCTTACGATGAACCGGGCCTCAGAACAATCCCGGATCATCCATCCAAGATCACACAAGTTCTAGGGCAACATATGGACTGTTATGGAATTCCATGAATTATTAAGAAGGGGCATATCTATCATTTTGCACCCTATTTTATAATTTCTTTTAATTCAGTTTAATCTTAATTTTCAGCAATTAGGATTACTTTTGATCATCCACCACGTACCAGCATTGTATGCAGAAGAAAGGACACATACACATGATCCATCTCCTTGCAAAAGAGAGGGTTTGTACTGAATATAGTTTCTCTTTCTTCCCACTGTTGTGTCACGCTTGAGAGAGCTAGTGAGATGAGAGAAACGTTTCACCGGTACCCCTAGGTTCGAGGTAAACCTTCTCTCTTCTTTTTCTTTTCTTCTCTCTCTTCCTTTCTCTCTTATTCTCTTTCTTCTTCTTCTTCCCCGTCTGAGATCTCCTCAGAGGCCATGCACGGTAGTGGCAGTGCCGTGCATGCCTCTCTAGTAGCCTCACATGTCGCGCATGACGATGGTAGTTCCATGGACGTGTCTCTTTCTCCCTCTGTTCTATCTCTTTCGCGAAGCCTGCAAACGGTGCTGCTCATCGCTGTCTGCAGACGTATCATAAGCGCCTCATCGAAGGACGCATGTAACGAAGCCTATCACTGCCCCCAGGACCTTCACCCTATCGTGTGATTGTTGCAAGCGTCAATACCCCTCACCATCCACAAAGGGTCGAGGCAATACTCGTCACCACATGCTGGCTTCTTCCGCGCTTCCCTGCACCCATCGTCGTGCTCCCTATGAGAAGTAATGTCAGCGAGACCTATGAGAAGTTATAGCCATGGAACTCATTAGGATCCATCACTGTTCTCTAGGGACATGTTGCCTCCTTGTGCTGCCAATGGTGATTCCCATTGCCTTCTGGATTCTTCCTCCCTCTACCGTCTCTCTCTCTTCTCTTCATTCTTTTCTCTTCTAACTTGATTGAGGGTAGATCTAGCTTAGCACTGCCATCTCGGTGTTGGTTTTGAGTAGTATTGTCGTCGTGTTGGTCTGGAGGACCATGCCCGTCTTGCTACCACTTCGAGTCGATAATTGTTCGAATGTCATTCTAGCTTCGCTTATCTGTCGAGTTTTTCATCTCTTTTATATCTTTATCTAAAAATTTATGTTTCATCATTCTCAGACTTCAATGTACATTTCCTTAAGACAAAACTGGGTCTGCTTGACCCACTTGTCTTACAAATTAACCATAGAAGTGTTGTGCAGAAAACAAGAGGATTGCTGGTCAAGAGAGGCGATTCCGAACCAGCTAAAGTAGCTGGGGGGCTTTCTTCGTGATCTAAGAGGGCGTCCACACGAGTCAGCCAGAGTAAGTCTCAAACCCACCTAAAATTCATCTTTCATCTGTTGGTATACCTACCCTTGCTCTTGAGCAAAATTCTGAGAGAGCGATCTCGAATCCCGGGTTTACCAAAAACTCGAGGTACGTGCTGCCAAATCATCTAAATCTAGAAGGCGAGATCTAGGCACCTAAACAGCTTGGCAACTCCACTAGGGACTTACTACTCTTTAGTCCGCTCACTATTGTTTGACCAGTATCCTCTTTTACTTCTTGCATTAATTTCTATGGCACCTAGGTTATTCAACCCATTCATTCAAGTTGGGGACGTCCTTATCCCCACACTTATGACTGTCCCGAGGAAGCAAACTGTTCAAGCATCCTTACCTACTTTCCTTCGAAGTCAGGACTCACGGTCAGGCTCATTCTCACCTGGATGGGTGTGAGAGGGGACTTAATGGTCCCTACCTCCCCGCTTTCTCGCCCTGGTGGACTCTCCATCAAGGCCCCTTGCATGGGTAGCACACCTGCTGCCCACCCTACTACTGGCAAGTCTACTGCTAATCATATTGCTGAGACACGCCGGAAGGCTACCCCCATCACTCCCACAAAAGGCAAGCAAGTTGTCGTCGCTCTTGAGGTTCGCCGAAAAGCAACCCCTGATGCTCCTTCATCACCCCGGACCTCCACACCTGGAGAGTCGGCACATAGAGGCGAAGGTCCTGAGATCTCCACCCCTCACACAAACCCAAGGGCTCATGATTCATCCATTCGAGCTGCACCTCGGGGCAACCCTCACATTGGCTTGAGCTCGCATTCAGGGCTAGGCATTCTCGGTCCAAACCCTGCATGTGCCATGCATTTTCTTTCCACAACTCGAGGCAATGCTAGCTCTATGCCACCTTGAGCACATGAGGGTGGACCACTTCGTTCTCCCTCCCAGCACGCACAGCTTCACCATGTGAGCCCCCAAGTCACTCAGACGACCTCCTCAGGTCGGACTCATTGACCGAGCCCGGGTAGACCTCCAAGTCACTCGGACGACTAACTTTAAAGGTGAAATTGTACCGTCTTGACAGGTTCCTTCCGGACCTCAACTTAGATGAAGTCGTGAACCAGCTCCTTCCTCTATCGCTCTCTCAACACTAGGAAAACACCTCGAGTGCTAGTACTCGAAGGTCTTCCGTAAGGGAACC